ACAAGAAACTAGGAATTGGAGAGGCCAAATCAACCACAATATCATTTCAACTAGCTGACCTCTCCATAAAGCATCCAAGTGGGATTATAGAAGATGTCTTGGTCAATGAGGATAAGTTCATTTACCCTATAGATTTTATCGTATTAGATATGGAAGAAGACCGAAATATTCCAATCATTTTAGGCAGACATTTCCTGGCTACTGGAAAGCATTGATTGACATACACGAAGGATTGTTAACACTGCAGGATAATGATGAGAGCGTAAATTTCAACATCTATCAAGCGAAGAAACCTCTAGAAAAAGCTGACACTTGTGATATGATCCAATCAGTTGAAGCAGTTGTAGGTAATAGAGAAAAAGGGGATTTATTCTATGATCCTCTAGTGCAACACATGACTACCAGTCATGCAGCAAGTGGTACATCTCTTACTGGTAAGTACTCAGGAACCAATGAAGTAGTTGACTTCTTATTGGCTCATGAAATCGATCCACCTGACAAAAATTAGAGCTATATGGAAAAACCTTGGAAACCTCCAAACAATGTCAAATCAAAAGAGGTTTTTAAGGCTATACCGGAGTTACAGCCGTCCAATTCTATTTGTCATGCTATAATGAAGAAAAATACAATGTCAGTGATAAAGTATAGAAACATCAGAGATATGCCACCTGAAGATCTAACGTAGACAATTTGGTTAAGTCAAACTAATGACGTTAAAGAAACGCTTCTTGGGAGACAACCTACGCGTTTTTCCTTTTCATTTATTCTATTTTTTGCATTTTAGGATAGTCTCATTTATTTTTAGTATATTTTGGATTCATCATCTACCCAGTTTTCCCTTAGTTCTTCGTTTTGTTGGTTTATTAGATGTTAAAGCTAAGTAACACTTGTTCCAATTCTTTGATCTTCATGCTTTATTTAATTTTTCAGGAACATGACGTTGCAGAATATTTAAACCAAAACTGACCAAAAAGCCAACGAGAGTAATAGGAAAGCTAGCCATTGGATTATAAGTCATATCAGGGGAGTTTTTTCTTCACTTTCTTCCCCACCCCTTTATATACGGATTTATGATTTACGACATTGAGGACACTGTCTAATTTAAGTTTGGGGGTGGAAAATATTTTTTCATGTGTTTTTGTGTGATTTGATTAAAACAAATTTCAAAAAAAATTTTTTTTTTTTTTTTTGTGTGTGAGTTATTTGGCCTCGCTAGCAATGATGAATGTATTGCGTCATAAATTGATTTATGAATGGTGAATAAGTTGCATGCTTAAATTAATTTTTGCTTTTTCATGTGAAATTTGATATATATTGAGCACGTGAATTAAGTTAAGTATTGTGTATGAATGAGTTGAATTCATAATTGGATAAGTTAAAATAGTGGACCATAGATGCTNAGTTGCATGCTTAGATTTTTTTTGCTTTTCCATGTGAAATTTGATATATATTGAGTACATGAATTATGTTAAGCATTGTGTAAAATAAGTTGATTTCATAATTGGATAGGTTGAAATAGTGGACCATAGATGCTAAACCTAAAATCACAAAATTTTACATACTTGGACCAAATTTAAAATGGATTGGGAAATTTCACTGTTGTGAGAAGATATTGAGAAATAAGGATTCCATGTGTGAAAAAAAAAAGAAAAAAAATTCTTGTGTAGATCGTCTAAGGTGATGAAATTATGAGAAAATCTTAAGTTAGATGTCTTTTTCTTAAATTGGTGTTTAATGAGGGACATTGCACTAATTAAGGCATAAGAAAAAAGTGAGAGAATTATTATTTTATTTGAAAATTTTTCATCGTAGCTATTATGACTCGAGCAATTAAGCCTGCAAGGGTCTTTAAAACCTAGTGCCCTATGGTCGAAAACATGTTACATGGGTCATTTAGAAAGT